AGACTATGTCCTTCAAGAACTTCTCATTGGAGCATTTGCAGCTGAATTATAGTATAGAGTTAGTAAATTCATTTGGCAATAGATTTGCAACATTATGCAATTGAATTATCACTTGAACTTCAAGTTCACATTTTCTTTTAACGAGGATCTAGATAATTCATAATTTACCTCATACATAATTTTCAGTTGTCAATTATCTCTCCCCCTAATGTTAGAAAATCTAACATTCATCCCAACTTTATTTGGGAATTCATTTTTGTGCGTGGTGGAGCAATTAAAATCATAATCGCACAGATGAAAATTATTCCTAATTTTGATAGGAGACCTTTGTTGGCTTGATGCGTACAAATGTTGCTACATGTTAAATAAACTTATATCATACCAAAAAAAAATTGGGAGATTTGTTCTCATAATTAATGGTTTAGATATAATTGGAGGCATACAGTTTCTGCTAAACCAACCAACATTATCAGTATAATTTTATAGTTTGAAACTGTGCTCTTAATTTAACAATTCGAGCAAACAACCATACAAACACCAATTTGTAGGCTGACAACAAAGCACATGCGCATAGATGCATCTATCATATAGTTGCAAATGATCCACATGGCAGGTGAATGGGCTCATATTCACCTTTTTATATGTTCCAAATAATTTCAGGGAATATAATCCCAACGTTAGCTGGTACAATGATAATTTTATGGAAAAATTGTATATAATAGCAAACTATTAATTCAAATTAAATGTTATAAACATAGTTTGATTTAATTGTACCCCATAGCAAACTGTTGCTATTTTCGACTCTCCTGGTGAATCTCGCTCGCCACTCGCATTCTCTCCCTCGCCTCTCTCACTTTTATACAAACACAAATGTATAAAATGCGTTTGTATTTGTATAAAGCGAGAGAAAATTGTATATATACATATATTTTACGTTCCCCTCTCCCAGATCTCGCTCGTCGGTCTCTCCCTCGCCTCTCTCGCTTATACAAACAGAAATGTATAAATTGTGTTTCTATTTGTATAAAGCGAGAGAAAATTGTATATACACATGCAAATACATATATCTTCGTCTTATACACTTATAATTATACAATAAAAAATATTCCCCTGCTCAGTTCTCTTTTGCCTTTCTCTCTTTCTCGCTTTATACAAACACATATTATACAATTGATCTTTTGTATATGTATATCGAAACAGAAACAAATTATATACAACTTAACTTTCTTTTGTATATGTATAGCGAAATATACATATTTATGTTTGCTATGGAGCGCAATTATGCAAACTATAGTTATAGCATACCAATATGATTTTTGTTGTTGCTATATGTGAAAGTTGCTCTAATTTTATTATGAGAATAAGCAACACAAGAGAGTTCTTGAAGAATATTTTATTTCTTCAGTATATAACTATGTGAATTCTCAATTATTTTTGCATCATATTTTAATCGAAATGGCCAACCGATCATGCCAACTGATCTTTATTCCAGTACACTTATAGTTTACTTTTGCATGTGATTTCATCAGCATGTCCATGTTTGTATGCAACAAACAAGAGGAAAAAATGGGTAATCTTTTACATAATATTTATAACCCACTTCTCTTGTAGTAGTCTGAAGATATTAAATCTTTTCATAATTTATGGTCTCAATATTTCTTTTCAATTCATCCGAAACTTAAAAAGTTTCTTTTGAGACTTACTACAACCTCAATATTATTCCTCTGAGAATAACACAACTCGTTAGGGCTTACAATTATTTTTGTGTACTATCACATATTCTATGACACCATCCGTATGGTGAGCATCTCCTTCAAGGAGGAAATTATATTATTATTTTCATGGTCAAAATGATTACAAGCAAGACATGTTTTTTGCTTTACTTTTGTCATACCATAGGTACACAATCAATGACAAATTTGTATTGCCACACAATAATATTATTTTGGTCCAGGCCACAACCTTTATAGGCAAGAATTACTTTTTTCTTTTGCCTTTTTGGTAGTTCACAAAAGACATACCATAATATTTATGACGTATAAACGTACAATACCATTGACCATTTCTGCCAAATAAAATCTATTTATTTCTCTCAAACCTCACGTAGAGATGAGTTGTGGCATATTTCCAACCATACATAAATATGTTCTTATTCATATATTTTTTCCTTCATATTTTGACCCATTCACTTTCAAGAATTGGCAAACATTCACAATGCTTATTACAAGTCACAATCTCTTTAAGGAATAGACTAATCATTTGTATGTGCTTCATAAATTTGTATTGTAAGCTCATTGTCATGCCCTTAAATTTTATCATTTTTGCATGACACACCTCAACATCACTTTGAAAGGTCAAGTGTACCATCACTTTATCTTCCTTTCTTTTGATGGAGGATTTACAAATTTATCATATTATTAGATTGCACAACAATCTTGTGTCTAATGACTTTTTATATCTTTTGATGATAAAAATTACATTCACATTTTGAAGGAATATTTGGAGAACTCACAGTGTTCTTAATTTAACCACAATAATGGCTATTATATATATTTTTTTTCTCATGCCCATATTCATTTATACAACCACAATAATCACTGTCATCTTTCAAACGTATCATGTACTGCTACCACATTCACATAAGAGAATGGAGCAAACCAATTGGGCAAAATTCATGGCTTCTTATAGAAAATACAATTAGTTTGTCATAGTCATCATTAAATCATCATCATGGTGCATTAGAACTTAAATCCAACGTCTTATTCATATAAATTCGTCTTAGGTCATAAATCGATGGGACATGAACCCAACGTATTATCATCATGGTGCATCAAAATTTAAATTGATGTATTACCCTCTTGATGCGATAGAACTTGAATCTACCGTCTTACCCTCAAATATTTTTCATTATGGTGCATCCAGACTTTAACCTAATGTCTTATCCTTTTGGTGCGATAGAACTTGAATCTATCGTCTTACCCTCAATCAATTATATAGTAGGTCAAGTGCAATGGACTCATCTCAGAGCATCTTTACTCTCAACAAATATCAATTGAATCTTTATTTCCATTTATATAATTTCCTGCACCACCTCAACGATACAATTAGTGCAACTAAATTTGGAAATATTAATCTTTAAAAAGAGAATTTATTTATTCAAATATATGTACGGACAAAATTAGTCAAATCATCTCACTTATTCAGAGGAACCGAATATTCATATTACTACTTCTCCAATACTTAGTACAGCCGACAAATCATAATTAAATGTAAGCAATACTTTCTAAAGCTTACATATGATTAGTTGATTTAATCAACTCCAATTCCTGCAAAACTACAATTACATTATTATTATTATTATTATGTAATATAAAATATTATAATCTTTAAATCTCAAAATAATTTAAATTAGAATAGATAGGAAAAGTTACTCCCTGAATTATAGAAGCATGATGATAAACAATTTGGATGCAACTTGAAACAAGTCAACTCTGTCGTTGAGTGTATCAACTTTATCGTCTCTTCCTTTCTTTCTTTAATAGAAATTTTGGGAAGGAATAAATATACCAACTCTGCTAGCCATATTGCTATCAAGCATCATAATATTAATATAGAGACTCGTGCTGATAACGTGTTATAAAACATAAGCTCAAAATAATATAATATAAAGAGAAGAAGACAAGATATAGAGATGAAGAAGATGGCTTTTCTTCGTATTCAAGTGTGTCATCCAAATGATGAATGATATCTCTATTTATAGTGTTGAGATATCATACCCAAAGGTCACCTTGTTAAAAACCAAACTAGCAGATATATAGTTATCCACCAAGGTTCATATCACTTGGACTTTTACATACATGAATTCATCAATTAATTCTTGAAGTAATCAAATGGACAATCCACAATTCAATGAATTTATAACAAAACAATAATAGCGAGGTTACACATCATTTTTCTATTAGCCACCTTTATATTTTTTCTAAATTGAGATATCACTCAATTACAACTTTAAAATAATGGTCAAAATATAATTTATTTTTTTCATATTGATGCACAATTGCAATACAAAATTAAAATTCCTCTTTTATTTTTGTACATAATTTTTCGTTTACTGTCCATTGATATGATTAATTTGTTTGTTTTGTTGATTATATGGTTAATGCTTATTTGACAAATTTATCGTATGTTGCAGCTTATTTCAATTTTCTACATTGAATAAATGAATTTTCGTATAAAAAATATCAAGAAAATTACATTTTTAAATACAAAATTTAATTAATAAACATTTAGCTCGATGATCATTTGTGAAATTAACTCTCTTCATTTTGTTGAAAAAATCAAAGACTTTCTATAATCTATTTTATATTATGTTATACTTTTTTTTTCAAGTGCGCTAAGTCATTAACATTCACACAAAACGATTATTATTCAACTAAAAGAACATATTTTGTTATTTTAATCAATACCACTACATTGAATTTATTCAACCGTTATTATTCCATTGGTTAAACTACAATTTAATAATAACTAAAACTTAAATTGAATCTATTTTAATTTAAAAACTAGAAAGGACCATTAAAATATTTTTGATATTCAAATTAAAAAAGAAAAAGATATATATTTTAAATATTTAATTAATGTTTTCTCATCGTGCGGACAAATTCACTAGTTAGGTATAAAAATCAAAATAAATGAGCTTAAATCAGATAAACCAATATCCACCGAGTTTAGAAGGTTGTGATTGGTCCAAAGGGCGGGTGGAGAAGGGTAGAGGGGCGGGCCCATTATCCACCGAGGTTAGAAGGCTGTGATTGGTCCAAAGGGCTGGTCACAAACGGATTTCTTGGTTATAAAAAAAAAAAAAAAAAAACAATCAGATAAACCAATATAGGTCGAGGTTTGACTTTGAGGATACTACCCAGACAACTCATGCACCATGACAATTTTAGATACTTTGGCTACACTCCACTTCCCCTCTTGTTGCCCACTAAGAGTTGTGATCTATCACTTTTGTCAATTATCAGACTAAAAAATTCACACAGTTGTACAAGATTAGATTGTTCTCACTCTTTTGCCTTGGCAAATATAGCCCACCCTCTATCTGTGAAAAATAACATGAGGAAAGCACATACTGGTGACACAAGTACATTCTGATCCAAGATTTCAGCCTGAAGATAAAGTTTTGCTCAAAGAACGGTTACAGAAAGCAACAAGAGAAAGCGTATGCATTTGGAAGTTAGATTTCAACCTCGGGAGAAAATATTTGCAATGTGATTAATATCTGAAAGGACTTTAGCAGAGCTCCCTACCATGATTAATCTGTCAAAAATGTTGTTGGCGCATAGCTGAAGATAGTTCTCAATTAACTTGCTATGAATCGCCCGAATGCATTCCCATCACCAGTGCCCGTTCTACGCACGGGTGACTTATATCACTATTTATATCACGAGTAAATCAATTATTTCTGTAATCTACGCATGCACATGTATGTATACTATATGGACACATCGAAAACATACCTGAAATAAAGAAATGAATAGCAATTTAGCACTGCTTACCTTTGCAGGTGAATAGCTAATTAACTCCTGAGTGTATGGTAGTCTAATTATCTTCAGTTATACCTCCTCCTTTGTTAAATATTCTTTCACAAAGCGCCTGTAACAAGAACATGACCACTTATAACATACTCAAAAGGATTGTGAATAGTTGAATTAGGTGCAGGTAGAACACAATACAGTTTCATAACGTGCATGCAAATTTGTTCAATTGTCCATCATAATCAAGTGATCAAGAAAGTAAAGACACACAAGATGAAAAGAGTAAAATAATTATAAATATATAGGAATTATTAACACTTGATTGGAAATAAAAAGAAATTTAAAGATCCCAATTCGTACTTATTGATTGTCTCTATCAACTAAAAAGATAATATGTAATACAGTTAATATTAGATGCTACCTCAATTCTTATTATATAATAAAACAATTGCATTGGTTCTTTTAAGATAGAACCACTACAGAACATTGAGTACATCAGTTTGGATCAAAATTGTACACATGATTGTTGCAACTTCTCTGGACTTGGAAGAACATTACTTGTTTCCAGCCAAATTGAATTCCAAATCATCAAACAAAAGAAAGTTGCTTATTCCAAATACCAATCACACAAGAGATTTGTTGCACACTAACAGAAAACAGTAATAAGTTGTCTTTCTTAAAAGAAAGTGTATATTTCACATACTTCCTTGCTACTCCCTTATAATATTTTTGTCTTTCTAGACAGATTTTATACCCACCCAAAAGAAAAGGAATTACAAATTAGAATGAAGATGGCAAAACAGAAGAGCTCCTAAAATTAAAACTATGCTTCATACGTATAACAGCCCTACCAAATTTAAAATGAACAGTGCCAAAAGAGAAGAAATTCTACTGAGATCATTAAAAAAGCATCAAACCTTGCAAGAAGTGATGTCTCGCCACCCAACCAATAAAATAGCATCAAACCTTGTAAGAAGTGATGCCTTGCCACCCAACCAATAAAATAGCATCAAACCTTGTAAGAAGTGATGCCTTGCCACCCAACCAATAAAATAGCATCAAACCTTGTAAGAAGTGATGCCTTGCCACCCAACCAATAAAATAGCATCAAACCTTGTAAGAAGTGATGCCTTGCCACCCAACCAATAAAATAGCATCAAACCTTGTAAGAAGTGATGCCTTGCCACCCAACCAATAAAATAGCATCAAACCTTGTAAGAAGTGATGCCTTGCCACCCAACCAATAAAATAGCATCAAACCTTGTAAGAAGTGATGCCTTGCCACCCAACCAATAAAATAGCATCAAACCTTGTAAGAAGTGATGCCTTGCCACCCAACCAATAAAATAGCATCAAACCTTGTAAGAAGTGATGCCTTGCCACCCAACCAATAAAATAGCATCAAACCTTGTAAGAAGTGATGCCTTGCCACCCAACCAATAAAATAGCATCAAACCTTGTAAGAAGTGATGCCTTGCCACCCAACCAATAAAATAGCATCAAACCTTGTAAGAAGTGATGCCTTGCCACCCAACCAATAAAATAGCATCAAACCTTGTAAGAAGTGATGCCTCGCCACCCAACCATTCTCTTTGCCTCTCGAGTTCGTCAAGAATCGGGTGTACCACGTATCATTTCCATACTTGCAGAGAGATAATTTGGCTCCTCACCATTGGACAGACGATTGATTGTAACATGACTATAGAGGACATAGAATCAGCCTTTTAAAAGAAATAAGATGAGGAAACATTTCAATTTTGATAAATAGTCATCGAAGATCCAGAGGTGTTACATAAAGCATAAAGATAACTACTAAGCCTACTACCCCACGTATAAGCACCAAAGAGTGCAACTAATTTGCATGAAAATGTCAATTTAAGTAAGGTCCCGTCTACTGAAAACCCAATAAGAATATTTTTCTCAGATGTCTGAGTTTCTTCTCCAGTCATATACACCGATGATTATTTATTTTTGAAAAATATATTCGGTAATTTGATTTATAAACATCAATTTCACTCTGAAGGACCCATTTTTCATACTCAAAATACTATTCTAGGAAATCAAAGCAAGAAACAAAGATGCACCTAAGTATTGATATAAATAAAGGTGAAGAAATTTTCTGATTTTCATGACTTACCCTCTCAGTGTGAGGCACTCATCAAGCAACTTCTATGTAGTTCTTTTCATGTATACCCGGAACTTTCAAATTGTTTGGTCCATCCCTGAAATCAAACTTTATTTGATATCTTAAAACCCAATTTCAAATGATACAATTAAACTTTTAACTCCTTAATGAAAATAAAAGGCAGACAATTCAACATCTCAATGATCAATTGCAATATTGAAGCTCTGTTGGTGTTTTAAAAACCCAAAAAGAGCAAAAATGAATAACACCGAAATTAATAAAAACATAAGAAAAAATTGTGAACAAAAAGGAAAGAGGAAGAAGAACCAAGCTGAGGGCTGAAAGTAAAAGGAGGTTCAGATTGCATTCAACACTACATACGATATTCCGTTCCAACCTTCAGCAACTCTTTGCTTAATTGTACACAGAGCATGCTCGCTCACCGCACACTAGCATTACCTTGTCATAATGTAGAAGCAAACACAGCTCTACACTGACCACACTTGTTTAGGAGCTATGTAGAAAACCTGAAGACACTAAAAGGGAAATGGTGGTTACAATACTTTTGTAGAGAAGTTGAAAGTAGCAAAAAGAAATGGAGATTTTAATTAACTCAAGTTGTGTGACCTATTCTCAACACCAAAGATATGCATTCCAAGAATAGTTTCTGGTATCATGTTTATTACAGTTGCATTTACTCTTGACGTATCAAATGTTCAAATTAAAATTACAAAATCAACTGAAGCTTTGAAGTAAAAAAGAGTTGCCAACAATTCTTGTTCATACAGTATATAAGCTGGAGAACAAACTTTGTATGTACCAAGTTGATTTCACATAAAGATTCTACTGTGAATGCCTTGTAACAGAAGGTTATGTAAGAAGGTAACACAAACAGCGAGTGAAGAGTTGCATTTACTTGTTTGGCTTGCATTTGATGTTTGTAGGGTAGCATTTGGGATTGTCAAGGCTTTATTTCAGCACAACAAGAGCTGACTTAGTGGTAAAAAAGAGTGAAAACCAAAGAGAACTGAAAAAGCATGACAGTAAAAAATTTCCAAAAACAACCTTAAAAGGAAAACCATAAGCAAAGGAGAAACAAATGTAAGAGAAGGAAATGAAAATGGGGGACTTTAGCAGACTCAACAAAGTATTGACTATTGATATGAAGGAAGAGAAGTGTGAAACAGGTATCATAAGAAAATACGCGTGTACTAATATCAATTTAGAACAGAATCTTTCCTATATTGGTTTTACAAGGGGTTTCAAATTGAAATTACCAACATAACCCTGGATGACAAAGGACTTGGAGACCGGTACTTACTATAGAGTTAGAAATATATATATCTATTCTGACCATAGTAGCATATCATGCAAGTCAACCTTTCAGACGGAAGGAACTGATCAATCCTTTCATATGTTCTATTTTTCTCTCTTATTTCATGGTTGAGGGAGGGGTTTGGAGAGCAGAAGGTTAGTGAGAGATGTATCCATGCTTGCACACGAATGGATAATACATGGAAAAGCATACAGTTGATAACCCTACTTGAATGAATAATACAGAAGCATACAGTTAATAACACCTACTTCTAGAAAAGCAGATTTAAAAGGGAACTGCTAAAGTAACTACACTAAAATCACACGTACTAACTGATGAATAAATCAGACGAAAAATCAAATAGCAAAATTAAGTATGAAAATCAAAGTAAATAAGCTTAAATCAAATAAACCAACATAGCTCAAGGTCTGATTTTGAGGATACTACCCAGACAACACATGCAGCCATGACAATTTTGCATTCATTGGCTACACTCCACTTCCCCTCCTGTTGCCCATTAAGAGTTCTGCTCTTCACTTTGTCAACTATCAGACTTGAAAATTTTCACAGCTGTACAAGATTAGATAGTTCTCACTCTTTTGCTTTGGCAAATGTAGCCCACCGTCTGTTGCCACAGATTCCTACATTATATGTGAAAAATCACATGAGTTAGCACATACGGGTGACAGAAGGACATTCTGATCCAAGAATTCAGCCAAAAGATAAAACTTTTGCTCAAAGAATGCATACAGAAAAGCAAACAAGAGAAAGCCTATACATTTGGAAGTAAGATTTGAACCTCAGCAGAAAAATATTTGCAGTGCAACTTATATCTGAAAGGACTTTCCAGAGCTCCAGACCATGATAAATCTGCCAAACTATATTAAGAATTAAAGCAGTTTCAGTTTCACAACTAACAAAACATGAAAAACATCACAAATGAAATGAGGCCTTACCAATTAACCATCCAAATAATGTGATGGTGAAAGATTAAAACATGCAGATTTCCACTATTAGATGATTTTGTTAGCACAAAACAATGAGACACAAAGTTAATTTGTTACACTGATTCATATGATATAAAAGAGAGACTTATCAAGGACAGAACAAAAGCAAAAAAATTTACAATACAATAAAAAGCTCATAACAGCAGAAAAATCATATGATATACCGGAAGCACAACAGTGTAATGACACAAAAGTAATAATATTTCTAATTACTGCTGAAGCTACATATAAAATCAAAGAGACATAAATTACAGAAGGATATGCTAATGGCTCTAAACCACTAGCCGACTGAAACTAGACCAACTGACGCTACAATAATATAGCAGGCGATTAAAACGGAAAAACCCAAACTTATGACTAGACTATACAGCCCAAATCAACAGCCTAACTAGATCTACTTTTCTGCTATAATTAAAGGTAAATTAAAAGACCTAAATAAGAAAATATGATAAATTGCTTGACCAACTCGTCCTTCCCCTTGAAAAAATAAGGGAAGCTTTCACGAGCCGGGAGCAAAACACAAACTTAAGACTCTATCGTCGTCGTCGTCGTCATTGAAACATCCCATAACTGTTCAATTAGTCGGCCAGATCGATCCTGAGAAGACGCCTCAAGTCGCTTGTAGCGTGGAGGTTATGTTCACTTTCCTTCTTGAAGAAAGCCGGCACAGGCAAAGAGCTCGGTGGCGGCGAGGAGGAGGAGAAACCCGATCCAGCATAGAAATGAGCAATCGTTATGTTCTTAGGCACCATATCCGGCTCTGGACCCAGCCGATCTGAAGTGGACAACACCAGATCTTCACCAGTGACAAGCTTGTTTTCCTTCAACACTTGACCACGCTTCAGAATTTTCACCTCTCCCATCACCAGATGGAGATTTTTAGCACTAGGAGGACAAGTTGAAAAGTTAGCAGATCCATTTTTTTGTGGACTTCGCTTTCTTCGGTTATTCTTAGGGTTAGGGTTAGGATTTGGTAGAGGGTTAGAAGTGGAATTCCGTCGAGATCTCATAGGTTGACGATAGCTTACATGATGTTTGAGAACATCTTGTGGTTGAAGAAGGGCAACTCCGGCCATCGGAATAGATCGGATAAAAAAATTAATTGAGGTATAATGGAACAAAATAAATATTATATATATAGGATATAGGAAGAAAGAACAGAAGCAAGTTTATTTGTGGAGATGGAAAGGGAGAAAGGGAGAAGGGCTTATAAAGAAATCAAAGGCGGTCTTGGAAACATAAAAAAAACAAAAAAAAAAACTAAACAGAGACAATGACGTGGCTGTAGTTGAGCGGTTCCTATTAGGATATACGCGCATTTAATAGCGCGTCCACATTTTCTCCTTTTCCTTTTCCTTCGTTGAATTGGAAATTACTAGGAAAATATATGAGTATATATTTTAATATTAAAAAAAATTCATTTGAAAATACATGTTGTTTTTGTTTTTTAAATTTTTACTTCTGCATATAAATACTAATCCAGTGCTTGCACAGGTCCAATATGAAATAGATATTTTATCCAACCATATTACATTTGAAATCAATTGATATTGCTAGCTGCTACTCAAGATCTAAATAAATGAGAAAAGGTAAGCAATTCACAATGAAATTAAATAGTAACACTATGTTCATATAGAACTTAAAGATACTTCATTATGCGATTTCCTAGTTCTATTTACATCCCTTACTCTCCTCCATTCATCTCCTCTTCACTCATATTTTTTTAACAAGTGAATGTATATCATATCTCACACTTCCCTATGGCATTGAATTGTATGGTTTAGGCTCAAAGCAATTATATGTATCATCATGAGAAGCAGTCAACTATCTGCAAAAGTGAAAGAAATATATTTGAATCACCTTGTTGTTGAGAAAGTCTCTTACCCCTTTTCTACAGCAACATTTCATGTTCCTCCTATACCTTGCATCTACATGCCATTAGTTTGCTTTTAGAACATTTTGGTTTATAGCAAAAAAATGTGAGCATCGTAGTCAGATGAATTGAAATTCACTGCATAGTCTAAGCTAATTCTATCTTGTGTACAATAATTTGTTACTCGTGTGATTACTACATTTAAAATACTCTATAATTTTCACTCATTGCAAAAGCTAAATTAAAACTCAAAGAAAAGTATGATTCAACAGCTAGGGGCTTGTCATTTAGAACGAAAATCAATCAAAATATGAGAAAATGTAAAGTACAAATTAGTGCACATCATCGACCCATCAATGAAGATGAAATGAATTGAATACATGCTCACTCTACATCATGTGAAATTCATAAAAGGATAATCTTAGATATTATTTCTACATACTCTCTGGGTAGACCTTAGACATTATTTCTTCATACTTTTATAGCAAGACCATAGTAAATTGGTGTGAACTGAAAGATTTAAACAATATTTTGGTACAAGATTTGTGTACCTTTAATTGTTTGCAGTTGAATGAGTTTCATGAACTGAATGACTTGCTCCAAATCCTTCTTTGTATCACTAGGAAACAAAATTTTGTTTCACAAACTAAATGCCTCTTTTGTTGGATGTCTTTTTTTCTTAGAAGAAACTGTTACCTTTTGTTGAGTTTTCTGTTTTTGTTTTCTTCTTCTTTTTTTCTTTTTGAAGAGCGTAAAATTTATATTTAAAAAAAATGGAATGTTTACGTTGGAGCAGTTACTATGTAATTGTTCCCATCCTTTTTTAAAATTATCACTTATCCATTTTATAGAAAATAACTTTGATCGGGTAAGATCGGGTCGGGTTGGTCCACATGGGCGATCCACGACCCAAAACTTACATCTCCCACTTCGCACATGGTGGACAAGACCCAAGCTAACACAACATTAACAGACACACAATTCATACGACAAATAGCTTGTGCGACTTGTGAGCATCAAGAGATTACCTTGAAGGTTTTATAAGCCCCACGTAGGAATCCAATCACATGTGGAAGGAATTCACTACTTATATGATAATACAAACTCACAATACTCCGGACTTCATTCACTACTTCAGTAGTTATTTATTCGATCACCCATCCTCTTAAAGAGGTTAACTCGAGTTCATGTTTTACTTTATACACAAAATTACACTCAATACCAATATGGTTAGTGCAATAGCCGGCTTGTGTATATAAGTTTATTATTCAATTAATTGTCTTTCCTTTCTACTCGAATCAATATGTTCTTATTCAACTGCTTTCCTAGATATGCACTGCATTGCTGAATCATTCATGGCTATAAGTAACATGCTAAAGTAGCAACATCGATTGAAACTTTAAGAAATATCAAAAGGTCAAAGGGTATTTCATTGAAAAGTCATTTTAACTTTTCGGGGTCTCACACAATGAAGAAGCAGGGAACATTCTTTCATTGACCCATTGATCGCTTGACACACGTGGTATGAAACACGTGCTACAATGTTTTCACCTTATACTGGTGTATGTGTCTCATTCTTCCGATTATCTAACATCGTACATACTTTGGTCTAAACACCTCTAAATGTTTAACCCTAGTTTCTCTCTTCAGTGATCCTTAAATTCATTTTCTTAGAGAAACTTTTATCTGGCTCATAAAACAAAGTCATAATATGATGGTGAAATTCATCTCTTCACGTTTCTTGACGTAAGAGACGATTACTCGTGTGAGGGAGTCAATCTCACGACTTGTTCGACACACTTTATTTCTTACAAATTATCGCATGCATATTATATTTGAAGATAAATCCAGTAGTATTATATAAAAGAGCATATTATGACAATTAAGTTATTTTACAATACTGAAATAACATCAAATCCTACCCAACCTAGAGCCTTAACATGTATTTCAAACAAGTCTCTAGAGATGACTTTTGTAAAAGGATCAGCTATCATTTCACGTGTAGGAATGTACTGCAAAGTTATTTCTCCACTTGCCACTACGTCTCTTACAAAGTTATACTTGATGTCAATATGTTTGGTCTTGCTGTGATACTTAGGATCCTTCGTGTATGCGATAGTCGCTTGATTATCACAATATAGAATCATGGGACTCTTAGAATTCTTTGCAATACTCAAATGCTCAAAGAATCTCTTTAACCAAACAACTTATTATACTGTAGACGCACAAGCCACAAATTCAGATTCCATGGTTGAAAGGGTTGTGCAAGTTTGCTTCTTACTTTTCCATGAAATAGCACCACCATTTAGTAAGAAAGCATAACCAGATGTTGATTTTCTATCATTCCGGTCACCAGCCCAATCAACATATGTATAACCTCTTATGAATAAATCAGATCCATTATAACATAGTGTATGATCTGCAGCTCCCTTCAGGTATCAAAATATTCTTTTTACATATTTCCAATGATCTCTTTCAGGATTGGAATGATACCTGCTAACTAGACTCACGACATTACAAATGTCTGGGCGAGTACACTTCATAGCATACATCAAACTCCCGACAGCACTAGAGTAAGGAACTCGAGACATGTATTCCTTTTCTTTTTCAGTCTTTGGACACATTTCAAGGCTTAAAGTTTCACTCCTTAAAAAACGTTCCAATATTTTCTTTATATAAGTTTCTTGATATTAGCTTAAAATTTTCTTGGAACGATCTCTTTGGATCTTAACACCCAATATATGGTCTGCTTCACCCATATCTTTCATATCAAATAATTTTGAAAGCCATGACTTTACAGTTTTCACATACTCCAAATGATTTCCAGCTAATAAAATATCATCTACGTAGAGAAAAAGAATTATAAAATTTTCATTGGAATTTTTCACATAGATGCAATGGTCTTCACCAATCATGGTGAAATCAAATGACATCACCTTCTTATGAAATCTCAGGTACCACTGCCTTGAAGATTGCTTTAAGCCATAAATTGATCTTTTCAATTTATAAACTTTCTTTTCTTGGCCTTTAGCAACGAAACCTATTGGTTGTTCCATGTAAATTTCCTCGTTTAATTCTCCATTGAGAAAAGTAGTCTTCACATCCATTTGGTGTAATTCTAGATCTAAACGTGCAACAATAGCTAAAAGTAATCATATGGAGGTAAACTTTACAACTAGTGAAAAAGTTTCCTCATAGTCTATTCCAACTTTTTGAGTAAAACTTTTTGCCACCAATCGTACTGTGTGTCTTTCTATTGATCCATCCATTTTGCGTTTAACTTTGAGAATCCATTTATTCCCAATAGCTTTACATTCATTTGGAAGGTCAACTAGATCCCAGACTTTGTTAGTTTTCATGGACTCTAATTCTTCTTTCATCGCTTTTAATCATTCATCTCTTTTAGGGCTTGATAAAGCCTCAGTTACAGAATTAGGTTCATCCAATTCTATAGGAGATACCAAGAAAACATAATCCTCAATCTGATAAGATCGTTTAGGTACACCTTTTCTTGTACTCTTACGTATTTGAAGTTCATATTCCTCTATAGGATTTTGGGATTCATAACTCCCACTTGGACCAAGAATCATTTCTTGATCCTTTAAATTATCAAGTATGCCTGACAACATTACCTAATCTTCTGAATTCAACAACTTCATCTATTTCACCCTTTTTGGAAAAAATATTTTTTTAAAATCTAACATCCCCGTGATATAATTTCAGTAATACTTCCATCCTCCAGTTCATCGATGAACACATACCCTTCGGAGCGTTCATAGTACCTTATAAAGATACATTTCTTTCCTTTTGGACTTAGTTTACCAAACTCACAAAAATGATCTTTAATATATGTAGCACAACCCCCACAGACTAGTCCAAAGTTCATAAGGAGTGGAAGACACTGATTTAGAAGGCACTTTGTTCAATATGTAAGCCGCAATCAATAATGCATCTCCCCAGAAAGAGATAGACAAATTCGCCTACGCTATCATTGATCTTGCCATGTCTAATAATGTTCTATTTCTTCTTTCAGCTACACCATTTTGTTGTGGTGTATAAAAAATAGTTAACTGTCTGATAATACCCTTTTCAATACATAATTTTTCAAATTGTTTTGACAAATATTCACGTCTCCGGTCAGTTCTTAAAGCATTTATGCTTTTATCTAATTGATTTTCAACTTCATTCATATATATCTTTTAA